GAATTTCGTAAAATAAAATTGCAAGATGGAATAAAATAGAGACAGAGACAGAGAGAGAAAGAGAGAAAGAGGGAGGAAAAAGAAGCGGAAGAAAAAAAGAAGATATAAAAAGAATGGCACAAAGAATCTTCGGATACATAGCATTCTCAGTTATTGATTGACGCATGATAAGTAAATCTGCGTAAATCAATAATCATGTTTCTGTATCTGCTTCTGATATTTAAATTGCAAAAGAATTCTTTATTTCTCAAGAAGTAATCATAGGAGTTAATGTTATGTTAATCAAAGAATAAGAGAAATATTAGTTAATTAGATAATTAATTTTTTGTCATATAATTTTTTAAGAGAGGAAGAGTATTTTATCTTACAATTTAAAATTTAAAAAAAGAAAAAAATAGGAAACTAGATATTGACATAAAAAAGTAAAATTATTATCTACAGGGATATAAAAATGTTTGAAAATTCATATACTCTTTTTTCCTTTTTAAAAATTTTTATCTTTTTTAAAATAAGAATATGAATTTTTTAGCTTCTTATAAAAATGTAATAAATTAAAATATCCTTATTAATTCACTAATTAATATTGAAATTTCTTAAGGTTCATATCTTTTAAAGCAACTAAGTATTTCATATTACAAATCAGAAACAATAATCAGAAAAATATATTCCATTTTCTACAAAATTTTATAAACACATGATGTATAAATAATAGATTTAATACAAAAATTTCAGTATTTACTGTTTTAACGTTCTGTGTAAATTTCCACGTTCGTCAGAAATGTTTCAATTTCTTCGCTTAGTTCTCGAAAATTAAAGAACGAAGTATATAATATAATGGTTTAATTGGAATTAAATGATTTAATCAGTAGAAAATAGTGGATTGTTTTGTTTGCCGTTAATTATTTTTTATGTCATTTTAATTATTTTTTGTCACTACGTGAAGTTCGTTTCATCATAGAAGTCTCTTTCTGCAAAACGTGCCGAGTTTCCTGTCGCGATATTTGCTGATACTCAGCACTGTCCTACTTGCCGAGCCTTTTCTTTTCTGAAATAACGCTTACAATAAAAACTAACGTAATGTATACAGTAAAAACCTCAAATGAATATTTTCTCGAATGAAGAAAGTATTTTATAATCTAAACTAAACATAACATAGTGCTTCAAATTAATTCACGTAAGTCATATTAGTTCAAATTAAAAAGAATAATGAATTTTAATATATGAAACATATAATAATATATGTAATAATATATGTAACATATAATAATATATTAAATAGTGAGAGAGAATATTTAAAAAAATTCATATTACTTAAGAAAATTTATGTATCATACACAATTTGTTCAGTACTTTAACATTGTACTTTGTAATAATTGAACTTACAATAAACCATGAATTATTATTATTATTACAACATTTTTAACAATGTAACAGCGTATTCCGCGTTTAGAATATCATGAAAAAAAATTCATCTCACTGGATGACTCACTGGGAGCTTTTGTGGAAATAAAAATTTGCTTCGTAAGAAGAGCTCTTTCGTAGATAAAGTTCTGGAGGATCATATATTGTGCAATCTGTCATTGGCTTCACCATCACAGCACCTGCCTTAGCTTACACATAATATTCCTCACCATTAGACAGCGATGAGCAAAGGACGACGAAATCTTCGCACAGTTTTTCTTGATTTATCTTGATGAAAGTAAATTAATAATCTGTACACTAGTGGCCCACTTTAGTAGATTTTTGTTTCAATAAAGACTCTTCTATCCTTTCGAAATTCTTGAAAGTGCCCGTCTTAATTTTCATTCATTGTTCAACTCACATCAGAATCATCACTATGAGTTTTCAATTTTCAAGCTCTTGGAAATTACATACTCGCATGAAACATGCATTTTGCACCACTAACATTGCAACCCGAAAAATCGTATATTTATTGGTTGGTACTGTAAAAACAAGTTCTAATCACGCGATGCATTTTTACGTGCATCGGCTGATCACCAATTGAAGTGATAATGAATAATACGATGAAGAATATACAATCATTGCACTGAGTTGCATCGTTGCATCTGTCCACGCTCGTCAACAATTTTCCTGATCTGTGAATGCATCCGGATTGAGAATTCAGAAGTTATTGGAGTAATCTGTAACAAAACGATAGATTTGTGTTTTTATTATTAAATAAGATACGCCAGAAATAATACAATTATTCAAATCAATAAAAAAAATATAATTTATATTGTCCACTTAATTCTTAATTGATTATTTCCTCATAATTATACATACATATTTAATATATAAATTTTTTTTTTCAAGAAGAATCAAATCAAAGTAATGTTAATAATAAAACTTAATTATGCTACTCGCAAATAAACAACAATTATTATAATATAATTAAATATGACAACAAACGGCGCCATTTTCTTTTATGAATAGATTTTTTTATCAATTTAAAGCTAATGTTTCTTGAGTAAATGTTTTTTGAATAACATAAATCGAAAGAAACACGGAATATTCTAACAAGTAAGTAACTTGTAAGTATATAATCCCATGCCTTCTTTTTATTTGTAAATTTTTGACACTATTCTTATAAACAAGATTTAAAAGAAAAAGTTTCAATAAAAATAATATCGCAATAAAATCTATTATCTATTTATACTGTTAAAATTTCATTTTTGTAAAGTCAATTTTAATAATTTACGACATAAGAAGTATCAATATTGTGACATTTTCTTTGTAAGAAAATTAAATTTAAAGCTTGATAAAAAATCTATGCATAAAAACAGATATGGTAATATTTAAATGAGTTGCATGGTGTAGCTTTTAGAAGAAACATCATTTTACACACAGTGTATCGCTTACTCCATCTTCGCCTATCTTGCGATGCAATCATTTGCTTCCCCCCGGGTACAAACCGTGTACTCCGGGTGAACCTTCGTGAGAAAAAAAAGGTCGTATTACCATAGTCTGGCTCGGCGCATTTGACTCACAGAAAAGGTTATTTCCCTTATCCGTTCTCTTTGCCGGAGATTCGGTCGCGAAAACCGCTGTTTATGCGATCGATGGTAATGTGGATGTGAGAATGTTACCTATATTTGCTCACATGGTGGATGCGAATTACATATTAGGATGGCGAGAGGGTGGCAGTGGATGAGTAGCGCTGTATAGTTTAAGTACGCGTTTCATTTGAATATATTAATTATTCATTTTACATGCCGTGTGGAAGCCGCGTATCGCGTTAATCCTTGCACGATTACCGAATATGTCGAGCACGATTTTGCGCCGATCGCAATTCATCGCTTGCATTTATGCGTGATAAAATAATTTGTACAACGTCGATAGTAAATTGATGTTCCAATTAATGACTTTGATTAATCCTTATATTTATGATTATTTCTTTTTGGAGAAATGTCTTATGATTACATTTATTTCGAAAATAATAGAAATTATCAGATAATATATCGTTCTTACAAATATCATTAGTAAAAATAAATTACAAAATTTGAATAAAATGGATGAGTCATATAGCCTTCGAACAAAATTATGTTCATGCTATTAATACTTCACGTACAATATGTATGTACAATATATACATAATATATTGATCAACATTATCAACATTTGTGATTTATAGTATAGTAATCTATCATGGTCATTGTATATTAATTTCAATTCATAGTTAATAAATGTAAATTCAGAGATACATGCAGAAATACAATCTCTACTATTCTATATTATAATTATCTGCTGATTATGTCTGTAGTATACTACTGTAAACAAGTGGGTTATCAATATCCATATATCAAGCCATCGCATTATTGGATCGCTTTAAGACGATGCATGACGATATTAATAAATCTGTTTATCAAAAAATCTATACTCATATTCAATTTTATTTATATATAATATTTTTTTAGTTATATTATGTGTGTTTAGTTCTTTTGTGCATCTATTTTATGTAAATTATTTTTCACAATAAAGCGATAACATATATATGTAACATATGTATCGCTCCTTTATTTCGAAAGTGATACTTGAGAAACATGATCTTTAATTATTACTATAAATGAATTAAATAACATGAGGTTTGTTCACGTGCTTGAAATCTTCAAAAATATTTGCACTAAAAATAAAAAATATATATATTCGAACACTAAAGAGAAAAAAAGCGAAGATGCTTACTGCAAAAAGTGCAACTAACGCGAATAGACCTATGATAGAGTAAACATTATACTAATCATTAAAAACAAAAACTTTATAAAAAAAAAATAACAATTAAAAAAGAGTGATTTTTTAAGAATTGTGAAAAAAAAATGTCAAAAATGATATTTGATCATATTAAAAAATATTCTTTTTATTGATATTTTTTTGATTAGTGAATAATTTTCTATCAAGTTGAAAAATAATTTTTTTTCTTTTCTAGAAAACTTAATTTTTTTTTTATCACTTTTGAAGAAAGAGAGTAATATAATGATTGATATATAAATTAAGTAAATTTCACACACACACACATAATATAAAAATAAAATATCTATATAAAACTAATTACGCGAGTTATCGAATCTATAAAAAATAGAATACCTAATTAATAATTTTATTTTGATGTGTTTTTTTATTGGTACAATTTCCCGATTCATGCAAATACCAAATAATTATAAACGCTTGCCAGAATGAAAAAACGAACCAATTGATGTAACTTCATTTTTCAATTTGAATTTCATGTTTAAATTTCAGTGAATATTTGCGTTCATTTAAATATTATTAAATATGACATTATTAGCTACATTAAAGAGTGACATTTTTTAACATAAAAGGTAATTCGAAATTGAATAGGTTAATAAGCCCTACAAGCAATTTCAGCGTTCTATTCTTCGTGGTTCATCGATGCGTCACTACCGTTATTCCACATCGCTGAAGATTGCTCGCAAAATAAGTTGGTCATATATCTACAATATCCACGCAGGTGGAAATCATTTTTGCGCACCGCGCTGAAAATAATATTTCCGCGAACAAACGCACACATCACCTTTCTGCGTCGGAGAAAATAATACTGATGGGACAAAAATAAATTTCGATTAGCTGTGTTACTGGAACGAGAGGGAAAAAAGGTTGTGGTTCCACACGGAAATACCGATTGCTGCGACAGATAGGGTGAACAGTTCGCAGTCCGCAGTGTATAATAGATATTTAAATCCTGCGGTTTGCGAAAGCCGATGCGTTGTGGCTCACAGTACTGTTGAATATCGATATTATTTCGTTTTACTACAGCGTGAGTGTGAGCGGAAATAGAAATGAGATTATTGGTGACAATGTTACACAGGTCGCCCTACAAGCCATCATATATCTTTTAATAACAAATTGTTACAAATGTAATTACAAAATTATATATATGTAGAACATTACAAATATATGATTATATTGAGTTAAATTATATCAAATAAAATTTTTAAGAAGTTAGATTTTTAAAGTATGTAATTAAGTATTGTTTTTTACTTAATTTCCTGAATTATATTATTCAAAAAAAATATATAACTGGTCCTAATTACGTTAAAATAGCGAAACAATTGATCGATAAATAAGAAATTAATTTATTTCGTTATATTTCTACAATATAAAAGTTGTTTGAAATTTCTCAAAACTGTATCAGTAGAAGCAGAGAGATTTGAAGAGATCTGCAATGTTTGTACGTAGCAAAATATACATTATATTACGTGTACATATACATAGTATATGTAGTATATATAGTACCAGACGCGTTCCATATTCTACATTTGCAAAAATTGCTACCGTTCCATGGTTAAACGAGACGATAAACAAATATACAAAGTGGTTGCAGATGGTTACATCGTGAAATGTACATATTGTGTATACGTTAATATTGATATTTTTAATATTGATGTTTTTATTGATATCGTGTAAAAGTACGATGCAAATACATATAATAAAAGATTATATCGACTGTTAAAATTTTAAAGAATACTCGAATTCTCTTCTCTCTCTCTCGATGTAAGAAACGTTTTCGTAACATTATTTTTATAAAACATATTATTTAAAATTTTTGTTTTATGTATGTATGTACATTTAAGATAACCTAATTAAAGATCAAAATGTATATATTAATGTTGTTATAATGTTGTAAACTTATAAAAAATATAATGATTACTTTGGCTTATATGTTTTATTTATTGTTGATTTTTTATATTATTGTACATTTAAAAGTAATAATAATTTTATGTTAAACTATTAGATGTGTAAATATTTAACATGGCTTTTGTAATTATAATATCATGCTTTGTAACTTGTTCATAAAATCAATCATTATTTTTTGTATCCTATTATTTTTGATGTATAATAGAGATATAATATAAAAAAATTTTTAAAAATATAGAAAACTATATGCTTAATAAAATATTCCAAATATAAGTACAATAATTTAATGTTTACGAAATATGCTACACTATATATTGTATATTAATATAATAATATTAATAATATCACAATTAATTTTTTATTTTAATAACATTATGAAGAATCAGTGATGCAATTAATGTATAAGTAGTTAAAACTCGCTCGATATACCTAAACAAATATCAGAAATAATTCTTTGTGACAATTCACAATTATTTTTTCTTATCTACGATGCACAAACAACGTACATACATATATACATAAGAGTCGAGTTTTTTGCTTTTTAAGCGGGTACGCATTTGCAAAGCGTTCGACATTTTTTATCTTACTTCCGATTAATAGATAGTTCAAACGAATGTCGCAAAGGATTTATCAGCGCAAGCGCGATAAGCGTATTCAAAATCTGTGCATTTTTTTCTTTTTTTCTTCTCTTTTGAGTTTCAGATTCCTCTTTCCATCAAGGGAAACAATAGAACGATATGTCAACGAACTTTCGTCAAATATAACTGACAATTCTACGTTTCAATCGCAATCAAGACCATTTTTTCTCAATTTTCAAAGAAAAATATTTATAAAGGTTTAATTAATATTACTGGCTCATGCACTCAAAATTTTAAACTAAAAGATAAATTAGATAAATATTAAAACTCTTTTTTTCTACCCGATATTCAATTTTATTGCGAGACAATATCATTTCTAAATATTCGCGTATGTGTAGAGTAATACAAATAATAAT